AAAGATTAGACTGTTATCAAACGAAGTCCATATGGGTATCTTGTATGCCAGGACATTCTCTCTTTTTATAAGACCTACTCCTAGTTTGAAGAATTGTCATTGGGAAACTGATGTCTTTAAAAGTGAAACATTTTTTTTTTTTTTTTTTTGCTGGTACCGGGAATAAAACTGATGACCTCGTGCTTGCCAGGCAGGTGCTGTGCCGCTGAGCTAAATCCTCAGCCTCTTGTGCCAGTTCAGAATCTGCTTTTTCTCCAACTGATTGCCTGATCCCAGAGACCAAGATCTCAAAATTGACTCTCAAACAGGAGCCTGACAAACAAGTAGCCATTTTCCAAAGAAGCTTTAAATATAATAATGAGATTGGTAGGCACTTCTTTTACTCTAGGAGATGTCCTTTAGAAAATTTGAATGAAAAAGGTGCGTCCTCTAGCTTTCCAAATTTGAGCTTCAATTTAAGTTCTCTTCTTCTTGTTTAATGTCAAAGAAAGTTTAAGGCTTTTCTTATTCATCCCCCCAGTGCTTTATCACGGTTTTAGCCTTTGTAAAAGACAGTGATGTCAAAACCTACAATGAAGTGGATTTTTTACAAGCCAGCTCATTTGTCTAAAGTGCCTTAGAAATCATGTGCAAAACAAAGAAATTAAGAGCATTTTCTTCAGTTGTAATATAAAGTGTGGTTTGCTCATCCAGAATTAGGGTTTTTTGAGACATTGAATGTCCTTTGTACAACTCAAAATGCTGCTTTTATCTGGTAAAGCCTCATTCCAGCTGGAGTCATGGGACACAATGATCTGGAGCCCTTATTGAACTGACAGTCATCCGCATGCAGAACTGCAGTGCTTTTGGTCTCCTGCTTTGTGGACAGGCATAACCGGATAACCCACAGGATTTACCCACAGGGTAAATCCAAGAAAATTCACCGCAATGTCTTGTGCTAATAATTTAATGAAATCCTCCCTGCAGCAATTTGTGACAGGGCATGGGGATTTTCTCCAGTGTCATCACACTTCAGCAGGAGTGATTGTGTCATCCAGGTGCAGGTGTTCTTGGCTGTCCTTTACCTGTTGTCTCCTCTTGTCACATACAGCCAAGGAAGCAGATGACAGGTTCATCTCTATTACATGGGGAATTACCAAGTGGTTGCCTAGCAACTCTCACAGCGCAATCAACATGGTATCTGTTGTGGAATGTAGAGTGGCTGGCTGTCCTTTCAAGAATGACTATTTGCATATTTGTGTTTTGGGGAAAATAGGTGTTTTCCTGGATTTAAGGCTATTAAAATGGTCTTTTTAAGAATTGTCTTTTCTTAGTATTTGTTCTATAGCTATAACAAATGCCAATTTTCTGATCAAATCATTAACACAATTGCTTTAATTAAAGTCAGTTCAAGGATCTTGTATGTGCCAGATACCATGCTAGACATGTAAGGAATTACGAGGAACAAGTGTGATCCTTGGTCTCAACAAACATAAAATGTAGTGTAGACGCTTACGTCTTTAACAGATGTGTAGAAATCATTTGTTTCCATGTGTGAAACAACTATATGTGTGTGTGAAATAAAGTTATTTTTATTTAGCATTCCTTTGTGTTTGATCAAAGGATTTTTTTTTTTTGCTTTTATTTAGATCCTGCTTTTTATAGCTTACAGCTGCAATCAGTTCAAAAAGCTGTAATCAGTTCAAAATCACTTCTAAGACCCAGCTCCTACTGGAATCTAAATAATTAGCAGCTCTTAAACAGCTCTTGTTGGAACACGGATGTGCCGATGGGTGTGGATGTCTGCCAGAGAAGATGGTGCTACCCATATCTGTCCTGCAGTCTTCCTACATAATTGCCACCATGGTGCTCACAGCCTCCCACCTCTTTTTTTACACCTTCCAGTTTAAAAGAAGTCCCTTGTCTTTCTTTGTCTGCTTTGCAGCAGTGTGGCTGCCTCTCTCCACTTAAGAAAGGACTTTGTCATGTTTCAAATCTTGCATTAGGGAATCCTTTGATCACTTAAGATAACTTCTTTCTGCTGCTAGACACAGCCTGGCATTTGATGAGCACCTTTCCCATGAACTGACTTGTCTTGTGAGTTACTTTGGCATCATCTTCATCCTTAGGGCACAGTGTGGGGTAACTATTGCCTGACATCTTGGTACGCACTCATTAGCTGCTCCTCTTGACTGGGCTACATTGGAACTCCACAAAGAAAGTGAAGCTTTCATAGGGAACTGTACCACAGCTGCAGAATTCTCTCCCATCTTTTCCTAGTGCACTTTGGTTTCTCTGCCTGCCCTCCCAGCTCTTGTGCAGGACCTGCTGCTGCTTAATCATTTTCTCTGTCATCACAGGCAGAGTGATTCCTTTTGGTACTTTGAGAAATCATTCAGATCACTTGTCTTCACATAGTGCCTGTAACATTTGCTCTCAAGAGAATGTGCCATAAAGAAGGGAAAAAAGAGTAAGAGGGGATCAGAGGACACCAGACACTGTGTATACTTCTTCATTTCAATCTCACAACTACTGCAGAAATCCTCACAGCCCCATTCTACAGATGAAGCTCAAAAGGTGCTAGCAAGAATTATTCTAACAAATATTAACATATCCTCCTGTCTCTAGGCTACTTTTTACTTACGATCAAATCAACCAACATTTTCTGTGTATTGCACATTTCCCTAAAGTTTAGGAGACATGTTAAAGCAAAAAACTGAGGCTCTACTCTTGGGAAATTCACAGATTAGCTTTATAAATGTTGTATGAAGATGTGGGAACACAAAGAGAACATCAATTAGTTTAAGTAAAGCATGGGATCTTGGAGATGTGTAGAGAGCCTTTAAACTAGGAAGGTTGTTGGACAAGGGAAACCTCTTTACCTTTGAAAATGGGCTTGGAGCCGAGAACTTGCTGCCCTTTGATGTTGGGAAATCTTTCCTTGCTGTAATCTAAATCCTGTATGCCACACTCTGCCCCACGTTTTCTCTCATTCCAACTTCAGTTGAAATAGCAATAATCTTTGCCTAGTATGCTATCACTCAGAAGCCTTTAGCAAGACTTGTCTAATTCATTACCCTACTACAGAAAAAAAACTATTTTTCTCCCACCCCCAACCCTGAAGGTAGACTTCTCCAATTACTGCCATAGGAAGAGTTTTGGAGCAATCTCTCCTATGAGGGCCTTCCTTCCCTAGAAAGGTGGGGGAAGCAAGGGAGTCAACAGAGGTGCTGCCAAAGATAATTGTACTTAGAGGCTGTGTTGTAAGCAGTGTGTGTATGTGTGTGTGTGTGTGTGTGTTGCTAGACATCAAACCCAGGGCTTTGTATATGCGAAGCACATATTCCATCACTGAGTTACACCCCGAGCCTGAAATCATTTTTCGTGGTTATCACTGCTGAAGAAAAAATTTTTGAATTTGAATGACATAGAAGAGAAGAATAAAGTGCAATGTCTCACAACACCCTACTAGTAGACATCACCAGACTGCAGGTATCATATTAACATCCAGACCCAAAGGTCATTAGCTCTAAGCCCCTGCTGAAGGTCTGTAGATGTTTCTATTCCTCCTTGCACCTCCATCAACACTTCCTCAGTTATTTCTGGGAGGCTTCCATAGGTTCATGGGCAAATCCACCATGTTCTTCCACTTCAGCCTCTCCATTGACAGTCTGATATTTGCAAACCCCTTTAAGGGGGTACCTGGGTAAGGACATTGTTCTTGTAGTAGTCACTCCTGTCACCCTAGTGTAAATGACATTTTTTCCCTTCTCTTCTGGGACCACTCAGAGTCAGCAAGTTGCCAAAGTCGAAAGTGGGATGGGGCAATGAGTCCCTCTCACTCAGAGGTTGTACTTTACTACCTGCATCTCAAAGCAAAACTGCTCACATCATATCTTACATGAGTACTTCTCTTTTTATCACCCTAATGCTCTCTTCCCTGGGGGTGGAAATGAGTTGCTTAAGCCAGGATGCAAAATGACAGCCAATTAATTCCTTGCATTTACCTTTCTTAGGGGAGTCCTGCACCCAAATAAAACAACTCTGACAAAAACAAAATCCAGACACCTCTTCCTTCAATAAAAAATAGAAAATCTGTGAATTAGCAATGAATAGATACTACTAATTGGGGGTGGGTATGAAGTGAGAAGTTTAGTGGTGTTCCATGAATTCCATTATATATTTACAAAACCTAAAAGCTTTGTGGGTTTCTCTTATAACTTGGAAATGAGGTTAAGATTATCCATCCTGCTAGATGTGGTGGCATACACCTATAATCCCAGCACTTGGGAGGCTGAGGCAGGAGGATCACCATGAGTTCGAGGCCAGCCTGGGTTATACAGTGACTGTAAGGCCAGCCTGAACTGCATAGTGAGACTGTCTAAAAAAAATAAATAAATAAATAAAAGAAAAGAAAAAGAAAAAAAGACTTCCCGCCCTATTCTTAAAGGAACCCCTTTGTTTCCAAAATGGATATAATACATGAAAGTTTCATCTCACAGGAAACCTGTGAGAGTGCCATCTTAGGAGAAACTATCAATAGTTGTAGTCCAAAATTTAACATTGCTCTATATGTTTTTTGTGCTGCACGAATATTCTCTATAGTCTCCAAGAAATATCCATCTGCAACACTCCCCAGCAGAGGAGGTGTGGAACCAACACAAAACAAAGTATTTAGGTCCAGATAACACAGCAGAAAAAGATAGAAATGGGTTTTCCCTAGAAGTAAATGTCAATGTAATGGACAAAAAATAACAACAACAACCAAAAAAACTCTCCACAGTATGGACAGAACTCAGTCCATGGCCACTTGGCCCTGCTGCTTGTGGCCAGCAGTGGTACAGTATATTATGGCAGGAACACATGGCAGCAGGGTCCTATTTACCTAACGATGACCACGAGGCAAGGAAAGAGAGGGAGGGGCTGGCCTCCCAGTACCTCCTCAAGGCCACACTGCCAGTGACCAAGCTTCCTCGCACTAGACCTTAGCTCCTAATGGGCCCACCTCCCTATAGGACCACACGCTAAAGATAAAGCCTTCAACACATGTCCTTCTTTGGGGGACATTCAGGATCAAAGCTATAGCATTATGAGAAAGCCCTTTACTTTTCCACACTGCTATTTCTCATTTCTAAAATGGAGGGATGACCATGTCTGCACTTCTTTCCAGGGTTATGAGACAACGTAGGCAAAAGCACTTTACAAACTGTGCAGTGTTTGTTTTTCTCTCCAAGCAAGCAGTAAGAAATAATGGCGGCTCAAGCAGTGACATCAGTGTGGCTTTCTCTAGGTTGATGGATTATTTCCCAGAGGTGACTCAGTGCCCATAGATCATGCCACCTCTTGTCTCCAGCACAAATGTGAGGTCTGGGACTGACAGAAGCCATCCTGATATGTTACCTTGTGTTAAGGCACAGTGAGAACAATCCCATCTGATGAGGCCAGGCCTAGAGAGGGTGGGAATTCCCAGAAAGGGTGGGAATTCCCAGAGAGGGTGGGAATACTACAGTAAATATGTGTGTGTTCTTTCACTGATGCCAAGCACAAAAACCCTTCTACATTCTCTCCCAAGTCATTTTCCATCTCAGAGTCACTGCCATATTTCCCCCAGCGGTTTTGTCCTTCATACCAAGAGTACTGATGATGTAGCATATGTTTTTTGATGTAGCATATTTTTAAAAGAATATTCAGCTGGGTATGGTGATGCTTGCCTATAAACGCAGCACGCTGGAAGGTTGAAGCAGGACGATTGAAGTTCAAACTCAGCCTAGGCAACTTAGTGTGATACTATCTCAAAAAAAAAAAAAAAAGTTTTAAAATTAAAAAGGACTGAGGATTAGCTCAGTGTGAAGGCTGGGGTTCAATCCCCAATACTACAAAGAAACAAACAAATAGTTCACCCTTAGCTCCAGGATTCTTTTTCAAGCTCAGGCACTCTTTCTTCACATTTTGTTGCTGACAGCTTCTTGCTGTTACCAGAAGTACCTATGCATTTAAGAAATGGCAAACATCAGAACCGCTTAAACCCAGATAGACAGAGACCCTGACCATGTCTAAACCCACTTATTGTTGGCACAAACATTCATAATCATTATGGTAGAAACTCAAGCCTATGCCACTAAATGATCATAACTTTGGCATTAAAAACTGTTTTGTTCCCCAAGAAGAACTTGACGACTTCATTCTTCAGCTATCACTGTTAAAACCAGGCCACCTCAAGAGGAACTGCCCTAAGAGGCCCCATGGGCCATCCTTGAATGCAAAGGTGACTACTGGAGATTGGTCTGCCCTCTGAAGTGGAGGCTCCAGAGCTCAGACCCATCCTACCAGTTAGTCTAACAGGAATGAGGGGGTCTGGGGCATACTCTGCCTTCTCCCTATGGCCAGACTGTCATCTC